ATTTTGTCTATGAAAATTTGATGTTACTATGGCTTTAAGAATATCATGGAAAATTATCAGTATGTGAGGTACATTGTTAGGTACATGATCCTGTATGTTGTGTATGACCTTAAATACTTTGTCAATCTACTGCAAATACTATTGTATGTTTGAAATATTACAATACGTGGTTAAAGTTGATTTTAGTATTATAACCATAGAAGGGTGAAAATGTATTTTATATTCATTTATACAGAGTAGTTGAAAGCATGTTTAAAACCGTTTAGTGTTTTAATGGCCGTGTCATGTGAGGCTTGTTCTCCGTCAATCGAATCTCTCAGTTACTCAAGTTGTCTTTGATCTAAACAGACTTAAAACCCATTAAATAAATTTCTAATGACATGCTTTAATACATCATACAAAGACTGCTAATAAACACCTGACTTTCCCTGTGTTTGCTTTTTCATTGCTAATCTAGCCTAAACCACTGCATTTAATGTAAAAACTTAAAGCAATCTATTCCAGTGAAAGCTGATTCGTTTCGCCAATACAAAAGGAAATTAAAATTTTGGATCTTCTTATCATTTTCCTTTTGATTTTCTTTCATTCATTTTTGATGGAATTGTTAAGACAAAGGCTGTATTTTAATGTTATTTTCAAGAAATCTTTCCTCTTCCCTTGTAAGAAAGAAAATCAGTGCTAAAGTTTGCAGTAATTTAACTTGTTGAAATTTATCCATATTTCATATACTGATAATTTTTGCTAAATATTTAAAAAAGCAAATTAGAATTGAGTTGTTGAGAAGGAATCTCAATCTGATTAAAATAAGATTTAGATCTTTGATGATATAGCGATCTATTTGAGCGGATCAAAGATATTTTTGAGTTAACATCCCAGCTTGCCGCTTTTTGAAACTTGCTTCATTATGATCAGTCATTTTGAATCTGGTAGCTGCTGGACAGAGGCCCAAAAGACAGATGCTAAACCAATAGATGGAACTGCTTTATGCCATTTAGTCAATTTCTAATATAATTAGAAGCTGAATACTAGTATGTAGTCACCAAAACATACAACTCGGTCGTTGCATCGTTGTGTCAGTGTGTTGGGGAGGAGGGGTAGTGGTATGATTCTAATTACCTTAAACCAGCATACATTGTACTTATTCCATATCGAAATCAAACAAATTGACAAAAGGTGTGGCAAAAAATTCCATCAAGCAGATTTTATTTTAACGCATTTGAACACTATCAACGATTACACAATGCCTCAAAAAATGCTTTTTCTTACGATAGATTTTTTTATATTATCATAAGCATTACATATATTTTTGTTATCGCTCCTCACAGCCGTCTGGCAAAAGGAGACAAAGCGGTTTTTGTCAGTAGGTGAATTTGATCAGATATTTTTCCAATGAATGATATGGATACAAAGGTACAAGAACTAATTCTTTTTGACTTAGATATTGCAAGTACTTTGCTCGAATATTTCTGCACAATTGATCTGAATAATCCTCAAAATAATATTATCTAACCCAAAAAGATTTAAAGAAAATGACTCTCTTCTTGTCAGAAATGTGGTTCGTTTAGTGTAAGTGTATCGATTAGCTGGGACCCTGTTGGAATCGCCATAGGCATTATGTATCCCATTTTCGAATCATCGAGATAAAAACAATGCGGTTCTTACTTTGTAGATGAAACATCAACGCCATTGAAAAGAAAGTTTATTTAAAAAATTATCAGTCTAAACTTTTCCAGGGTTTATAATAAGTTAAATTTACATTCATGTCTATATAGATTTGAGACCATCTAGACAGCTACGAAAGTCGACAACACCCAGCGATTTTTGTGCTGTCAAAGGTGGACTCTCATTTTCACGATCTGGTATTTTTAGTATTATTATCTTTTTTTTTTATTTTTCCAAAGCCACATGGTTAGAAAGTACTAGTACACTGAACAAGGATAATATTTTTGTCATTGTGTCATTTGAAAATGCCATTGTCATAATAATTCAAATTCTTGTTCAAAAATGTTGAAGTCTGTACTTTTTGCTCAATTCGATGTTTTTTTTTCTTTCTTTCTCAGTCTATTTTTACTTCAAAGATCTTTCCTCTGTTTTTTTTTTTTTTTTTTTTTTTTGGTTTTTAAATGAATCTGCTGTCTTAGATGCTTTTTTTCTAGAGGTTCTCAGACAAAGCTTATATCTCCAATTAGTGCACCTGGAATGTTTTCTCTGATATCAATTCTTGCTCTTTCTTTATCCGGTACCATTGGAGTAACCTGTGTTTTTATTTTCCTTGCCATTATCTACATGAGGTATCGTGGGACCATGAAAACGTTATCGAATTACATTTCTTCATTTCCATTTCTTTTTCCTGAATTTTGTCAAGTTGTATTGAATTTTTCTGTTATGTTTCTGTGAAAAGATCTAGAAACTCTTCATCCGAAATGTAAGTCTTCCCAATCCTTTGTCTCGTGAGGAAGGAGTGTAAAAGTCCTAACAACACGTAGAAAAGATGCCGGTTTGTTATTTATTTCTCAACAGAATCTTTTCCATCCGATCAAGAATGATTAATCGCTGTAAAAAAGGGTGCAGTGGAAACTTAAAAGAGAAGGAAGATGATCGCCGATGCATCAATCTTATGTGGAACGATGACTTATTGCATAACCGAAATACTGCAAAGTACAGTTGAACTTCGTTATCTCGAACACGGATATCTCGAATACTATGGATATGTCGAAGTAACTAGGAAGTATAATAATGTTTTAGTACAAAAACATACCACAGTTAGTCTCATTTCCAAGCAACAAAGTTCCTCTTCATGATGCCAGTTTTTGACGAAATCGAACATACATGCAGAAATATTCATAATTTTCTTGTATTGCTTCATTGTAAATAAAACAATTCTTTTGTTAATAATGCTTTGTTTTTCTTACCTGTTTCCTGTTTTAATGGTTAATCCTTGTTCATTCCCATTAATCGTAATGTAAATACATGTATATTCTAGAATGAAACTCTGGTTTCTTCAATTCTAGACCAATATTTAAAACAAAATAAAATACCGTATAGAGGATCTAAATTTGGTTTATTTTAGAGATTTGGTAAATTTGTACCCTCGCATAATGTAAAGAGGGCAAGAAATATGACTTGAATGAGTCTTTTTAAATAATATACTTTCGTTTTGGTTTTGCCTAAACTCTTGCGTAAATCGGGATTTATTGGGATTCCAACATAAGGAAAACTGGACTTAAAAATAAAGTTCCTCCCTCTGCAAAGTCATTGAACTCCATGTCCGCCAAATAAAGTTCGACAGAATTATTGGTATACCTGTGAGCAAACAAAATGCCAAAATTTTGCACCCAATTTATATTTTTGGAATGGATGTGATAAAGTAAAAACATCCAATTTAGAGTTTTTATTAAGTGAAACAATTGCATTTGTATTGTATGTACATCATTCAGACAGAAGAAGAAAATTTCTTTCAGAAATCGAATGTAAAATGTTCAAATCTAAAAACAAAATTAATAACCTGAACCAAATATATAGTTGATATTTGATATGTCGAATACAAATACGTCAAAAACTAGGAATATTACTAAGTTTGTGGGCGCATAAGACAAGATTATGGACAAGTTGCATGTATGGAAGCTTGTTTTTTTAATATCCTGTGAAAAATATTACAATCTATATATTCACAATAATCAAACAAAAATCATATGATTTCGTAATTTTTTTGTGATTGAAAAAAACTGTCGAAGGAAAACTAAAGCATTATTATCGAACAGTTAATTTGTAAATATTTATTTGTGAATATGTCTTTTTATAAGTAATACAAAAATACACCTCAAAAATGAGATATGTCGATATGCTATTGACATGTTTTGGCAGTTTCATGTTGCACATAACGTAAACAATACATTGTATCCTTGGGCTGAAGTCATGCAACATGCTATTGTGAAATTTATAGATTGATGTAACATATCTTAAATATTGCGGATCAAGAAACTTGTATCGGAAATATGCTGCCCTTCAAATTTAGGGTTTTGTGAAGTATGCAGTTCTACAGGTCAAGAGGGGGTATTTTCTATGTGCTCCCATTGGGTTACTTTCTAGGCAAAACATGTAACACTCTCTCCTTTAAAAGTTCGTTGTATCTGATTCTGCAGTCTCTGATGTGTAGCAAATGTCCCAAAGCATATTTCCCAAGCTTGATTATTGTTCATTTGGTCCGAATGATAGCATCAGTGTTATCACAAAAATTACATTAAATACGATACACGTCGTAAATCACCGTCAACAACGAAGTTAGTTCAGTACAGAATTGTTTCCTTGTGAATGTGCTTAGCGAAAGATTCTTCGTCGTTGGTGTTTTTCAGCTATATCAGATATGTAGTATTCATGGCATACATTTAGACAAGAATAGTCTTAGAATCAGCTTAAATAGCTCTTTGCCATACATCGTCTTCGATGCCGAGATAAGAGGACATGCTAACTCTTCAACATCGTCTGGGTTCTTTCAACATCGGATTTTTTTTTTGTCTTTTTGCATTAAATTCTGAACACGTAATTCAGAAAAAGATGGAATTCGTGGTCATTAATGCTAAGTAGTGTTCGATAATCCATACAAGAATCAACTACTCTGTGCTTTTAACAGGCGTTGTGCTACGCAAAATGATTTGGAATTCTTGTCACACTCTTATCACAATAATGCCACTTACCATTTCAAATGATAAATAAAATGATATCTAGAGGGTTTCTGTAGACATATTTTATGACTATTAAGTCCATTAATGCTGGAATATTTTTTAAGAAAACGAAGAATCTGGTTAAGACCCCATAATATTTCCAGATCACTAATAAATAAACACATAAATGTTTACTATTGTTTGTAATTTCATATTTGATACGAATGTAACATAGATATTTGCAGTGCTGTATACCCTAAACTTTAAATATCAAAGTTGATGTAAGTCATTTCATGCTACATAAATGCCTGGTAATGAATAATCTGATAATTTTTGTAGGATTCGGAATGACAACCCCAAGAACAGTTCCTGGAAAAGTTGTGCTCATCTTTTACGGATTCTTTGGTTGTGCTAGTGCTATTTTGTTTTTCAACCTTTTTCTGGAAAGGATCATTACGTTCTTAGCTTACATCCTTCGCTCTGTCCATGAACGTAAACTAAGGAGAAAATCCGGTGGTGATGGATCACGTGACTCCAGAGACAGACGGTCATCTCAAACTTCAGACGATGACCACCTTGACACGTGGAAACCATCTGTGTATTGGGTTATGCTTATCCTCCTATTGGGGGCCGTTGTAGTGGCCTGTTGTGCGTCCGCCATGTACCAGCCCGTAGAAAACTGGACCTACTTCGATGCAATATATTTTTGTTTCGTGGCCTTTGCCACAATTGGATTCGGTGATTTGGTTGTCAGTCAGAAAGCAGAGTATGATAATGTAGAGTTATACCGAATCGGGAATTTTATCTTCATTGTGATAGGATGCTGTTGTATATACAGTTTATTCAACGTGACGTCCATAGTGATAAAACAATTTTTAAATTGGCTCATTCAAAAGATGAATTGTCGCTGTAGGCGTCGGATAAAGAAGCCTACAAATGGGCGTCGAAATGCAATAACGCCAGGTCATCTACATCGACATTCAAAATCAAATGGATCAACGAAAGCCCACAGTGTGACTGTTGAAACCGACAGTGACTCTGAAGGACGAAGAAACTCAGACGAAATGATTTCCATGCGCGATTTCCTAAATGCAAACAAAATCTCGCTTGCAATGATGCAAAAGCAGTTATGGGAAACATCACAAAGAGGTGGGGTTTCTAATGGTGGTGGCTTTCAGGGACCGGTGGGTCCATTGGCTATTTTAGACCGAAAATTGGGCCAAGACGAAGTATGATAAACAAACGATACGTTTTTTTCTGACAATCTGGAAAATTACATTATTGATTTGTCAAAAATTGCGAACTGTGATAAAATTGTCCGAAAGGCGACAGGCATGACTTTTTTTGTTGCAATTATTCGATGTCTTCTTCTTCAACAACGACAGTTATTTACTGTTTTTTAACAAAACAGTCGAATTACTTGAGGTAAGACAAAATCAAGTTTCATTGTTGATTCTCCAGCAAACTGTTACAATTCTGTATTCATATCTTCCAGATTGATTTCTCAAAGTAAACTGCATAATAAGTATTGATTGGTTATGCATTTTGTTATTTGAAATCGAAGTTAATTTCCATATTTCGTTCTGTCAAAAACGAGGCTGACATTTGTTCATATAATTTAAAAATATCGAACCTCACTTGACTTGACAAACAGATGCATGATAAACTTGTCCATACTGAAACATTGTAATTACTATAATCATTACTGAATCACACGCAATGAAGTATGTCTTTGTTAAGGCATTGACTCTTAATTATTTTGTTAATTTTATCAATAATGGATTTCTCAATCTGAAAGAACTCGGTAAATGTCAACGGTTGCGATGAAATACTAAGTATGGATCGCAAGAAATGGAGGTTATTTACATGAGATCTTTACGACATTGCGTTTATGCCACAAGCTTGGTATAAAATTACAGACTTAGTATTGATGCCATCTGCATAGTCCATGTAGCCTAACATTAAGGGTCTGGTCAATAGTAACAAACGATTGTAATAAAATACATGGGTCAATTTGTCGATTTACACCACACGCTCACAAGTGCTTTATTAAACACCTGCATCCTTTTTTCATCTTTAGCTTAGTTTTTTGGGTTTTCTTTATTTCTTTTTTTTTCTGGCCATCTTTCAGTATTATTTTCCTTTTTTTAAAGTTCTTTTTGGCTTTGTATTGTTTTGTTTGTTTGTTTTTGTTTTGTTTTTTTTTTTTGGGGGGGGGAGGGGGTTGGTGCTTTTTTGTTTTTATTTTATCATTTAATTTATTTATTTTTTGTTTTTGTTTTTGGTTGGAGAAAAAAAATAACAATAATAGTTTTTTTTAAAGAAAAATAGATGTGTATTTTTTGAGGAGGTGCGCTGAAAAAACTACCATGGTTGCTGAAGTTAAAGAATATACAAAAACTCAAATCCTTTTCGGATGTAGGCAACGTCCATTAACGTGTAAACTACCGGGTAGCTATGGAAAGATTCTCTTTGTGCAACTATCATTACGTGCAGCAAAACACCATAAATTTGCAATAACATATATGTAGTGGATAGTCAAATTAACTTCATCTCTCTCTCTCTCTCTCTCTCTCTCTCTCTCTCTCTCTCTCTCTCTGGATTAACTGAACTTTATGTCGATAACATTTTATTATTTTTGACGCGGAAGCAATCCCTCAACATTCAAAACTGTGTAAAAGAAATGAAGTTATCTAGTCAACAAAATCATTCGTAATAGTCGCAATTTCTTCTGTCAAATATCTTTCCGTACCAGAAAACGTGTCAAATTATTCTGTAAAATTAACGATTTTTACGTTTCTTGGAAAATGTCTTAGGTCGGTTGGTGCTGCATTACTCCATTACGTTACAATTACATTTGTTTTGACAAATGTTGTACAAGTGGTAGATGACAGCTGAGACAAATTGTTTTAATATAATTTCGTAAGGCAAGGAGATTTTCTTCCTTTTCGTGAATTGCAATCATGAATTATGCATTAGAAGTCTATAAAAGAGAAAAAAAAATTTCCCTGCAAAAATTTTAGCTTGCTGTTTAGTCATAACTTAAACGACCCACAAAAGACAATAAATATTGGAAAGCAGGTTTATTTTAGGAATCCCTCGTGTTCTATTTGCATAATTATAATTATGCAAGAATTTATTTAACCGATATATTTATAGAAAGTTTTATATACAATATCAGTCCTGATAATGACCTGTAGACATCCACTTAATCACAAATCTGAAAAGCAGATTTTTTATTGATTTTGAAAACTACCATCAAATAATTAAAGGCGACAGAAATCTTAATACCGTTATAATTCAAAGTTATTCCTTGTTGTTGTATACAGCAGATACCCGTAGTTGTCGTTAAGCTGTATCGCTAGCGTGCGCTAAGAACATTACAGCAGGAATTTTAATCATGTTATACGGCTTTGCTTAGAAACAGTATCTGGTTGTCGAGAGTTAATTTCAGAGAATCGTCATGGATTCATAACAAACAAAGGCACGGCTAGGTCTACGTCAACACTCTGGATGTTGACGGATTTTCTTACAAATCAAGCTAAATGATATGTTTGTAGCCATCCCTTAAGCTGCGTGTTCCCAGGACACATACATATGTATATTGTTTTCAGAGAGAGGGAGGGGGGTTAATTTAAATACTATATAGTTATATTATATACAATCTTTTTTCTTTCTTTTTACAGAGAATTCATCACTCACCAGAACGGACTGACTGCACAGCCTCCTGGACAATACCAAGTCATGTTATGTATTCTTTTTAATTCTTGTTTTAATCGTTGCTTGATTCTGAAGAAAAAGTATTGTTATAATAGAATGAAAGTTGAAAAAGTGATGTAAGAAAGGGAATATTATTACTGTAGAGTGTACGTGATACTGAATTAGACATTTTGGAGTGGTTTGTACATTTTCCGTAAATTCGATTAATTTGATATTATAAATGAAACTTTAAAAACAGTTGTTGGTTGAATTCATTAAATATGTCTTACTTTTCATTAAAGTACAATTGAGTAAACATCGTATTTAGGAGCCGAAGAAGTTTTACCTTGAGCCTTTACATGTAATTTAGTGACTTTAAGGTGATAGACTAAGCTACTTTTAGGCTCTTTTATAAAATATAAACAAGTGCTATATGTTGTTGTAAACATAAAAAAGAAAGAAAATTGATACGAGTACTAATAATGCCAAGATAATTATTTTTTGTATTTATGCACTCGATCACTAAACAAGTAATTTTTTTTCAACACGTAATACACTTTTTGGGTTAGGAATAATTTATGAATGTCCACACATTTAGAAAACCTTTTAGAAACTGGATTAAGTTAAGTATCCTTTTATCAATTTCTAATTTAAAACATGGGTCATATGCGAAAAAGTGACTTTAAAAAAATTTCTTTGATAGTTTAGCCAATATGTAATTACATCTGTGCTAAAAATATTTGTAACGTGAAAAAATATAGCAATTGACCACATAACTTGGTCCTCATTCAGTTTATATGTAATGTGGACCTCATCAAAAGAACTGATTGATAGGATTTTGTCTCTCTTTTTATAATCCCACAAATCGAGGATTATTTTCCACCTTTTTTTCCCAAAAACTATTTTTGGCAACAAATTGTAGAAACGAACCTGTAAGGCATTTGTTTATACCTAACTCCTCAATGTTTTTTTCTTTTTTCAAAATTTTCTTACATCCGATTTCATATTTATTTCTTATAATAGTTGTTAACATTTATCCTCATATACAAATTCTACTACTGTTTGAATTTTGTACTCTATACAAAAATTACATTATTTATTCATTTGTGCTCTATGCTTGCAATATCTTCCATTAAAAACCCTCTTTAGGGCTCGATCTTACTTTATTTAAGATTTAGCACTGCTCTACAAAATGTTTGCATTGTTTTCAAAGAAGATATCGTGAATGGAATCAAATGAATGTTTATATGTACACTGTCTCATATTATATTAAGTATTATACGCTGTTAACTATGTTGCTACTTTTATACTGTTATATATTCACCACTGTGTATTTAAATTGCTGAATTGCATGACTTATGTCAAATAAAATGTCTTTCACAAAACATATTCTTTACATGTGTTAATATTGACAGTAACAAGATTTGATCAATGGTTCATCTCTTGTACATTGTTACTTGGATACAATGGAAAATAAGACTGAGCTTATAGTTATTGTAACATAAAAGAAAAAATCTTATATATATATATATATATATATATATATATATATATATATATATATATATATATATATATATATATATATATATATATATATATATATATATTATTGACATTTTATTTTATTGAAATTGATATCTATCATTGAGTCAAATGCTGACTGACGTTTTTCATACTAATTGTTAGGCCATTAATTATACACTGAACTGTCTAGGGATTTTTCCGGGTTTTTTTTTTCGATCATGACAAGGAGCACACGGCGGGTGTTACCGGTCGGCATGGGATGCGCACTCCTCCATGGCATCTGATCCCACCTCTTAATTTTGAGGTCTGTGTTTGCTCTGCTCCAAAATTGTATCGTTTCATTGGACTTTCAAGATTGAATACTGTTTGTTATCTTCATATTTCATTTCAATGTTTATAAGTTTTTATTCTGTCAACGGAAAATTGTGCTTTTGAAGAAAATTAAAAATAAAGTTTCATCGAAATTTTTAATCTTGCATTGGATCGAGAACAATGAAGTAATCTTTCAAGGCCCACAAATACATGTATTTGTCGATCTGAGATTGTATATTCCTGTTATTATTAACTGGGTTAATGGAAATACTAGACATTACGGCAAGAAGAGCAAATTACTTAGGTTGTAATTTTAATTTGTAATTTCTTCCAATCAGCAAAGCAAAAATGAAATTGAAAAAAAAAAGAGGAGAAGCGACACATAATCAAGACCAACAGATATTTCTTTATTCCGCTGATCTATGTATTTACTTATGCTTGCTGCTCTACCAACACAACATTTTATAGCATTCTAGAGTATTTTGAAGCAAAGACCATAAGGATCAAACAACGGGGAGGGGGGGGGGTGTTTAAAAGATTTTATAACGCAGAATGAGAAGGTGTAAAAGTGTAATTATGCCAAGTGAAAAGATGTAAAAACGCGAGAGAAGGCATTAATATGACTTTCAGAAAGTGCAATGAGGTGAAAAAGGCATTATTACGCCTTTTGAAAAGGCGTTATAACGGGAAGATAAAAGGAGGTAGTACGCCTTTTGAAAAGGGATTCTTGCATTTTAAAAAAGCCGTATAACGCCTTTTGAAAAGTAGCAACAATGTAAAAAAGAAGCAGCATAATTGAAGTGAAACGGCGTTATTTTGTATAATAATTACATAATAGATGGAACCATTACAATTTAAATTCATGCAATATTTTAAAATCAGTTTTTGTTTTACTCGTGTATTCCCGTACATCTAGCAAGCACCTGTTTGTGTGAGTACAGGTATACCCGGATAGACAACGCCCTACACAAATCACGGAAATCTTGACCGCTGAGGGACCATGATTCAGGCCCTGGGTGGGACAAAGCTGGTCTTATGATGAAAAATTATTTCACACTTGATACTTTTTCCCTCTTGAACACCAAGCACATAAACTATTTGCATAGTATAATGAGCATAAGCATTCCACCAAAATTGTGAAATCCATGTCCTTTGATTCAAGTTATGGCTCAAGCTTAAGTTGGTTACGTATTGAAATTTTTTTTATACTTTTGAATATCGTTCTTCAGGATATTTAGCTTCAAAGTGTTGTAATTATTATATTGGACATTTAGCACTCTACCATATTTGTGAAGTTGATGCCCCCTGGATGCAGGGTTCAGACCCCAAACAAGGGCAAAGTTGGTTATGTATTGAAAATACACCTTTGAAAATCTTTACTCATGCCAATTTAGCAGGCAAGATAAAGGTGTATTAAAATCTTACAAAAATATGAAATCCATGCTCCCTGGGTACATATCCATGGATGGGGTAACGTTGGTCATATATTAGAATTCATATACTTTTGATGAAAATATTATTTAAATGTGGACAATTAGCAAAACACATTTTAGCTTCAAAATATTTGCGTTATTTTCTCGTTTATTTTATTATTTTATATTATTATTTTTATTTTCATGAGACAATAAGTTGAAATAACATTTTTTCCTAATTATTCTGCTCAATTTAATTTAGAAAATGTGTGTTTCAAATATTTATGGCTAAATTACAGAAGCATTTTAATGCCAGTTAATATCTTTTAAAAATTGGTGATTCCAACTTATAAGTCGGCAATTTCAACTTTAAAGTTGGTTTTCGCAACTTATATATCTTGGCTTTTCCAACTTTAAAATTGCATTTTCTAACTTTAAATTTTGCTTTTCCAACTTAAAAGTTAGTACACTTAGTAATTCCAACTTTAAAATTGACATTTCCCACTTTAAATGTTTGTAATTTGGCTTTTCAATTTTAAACTTGTTTTTTCGTCTTTAAAGTTTGTAATTCCAACTTAAATCTTGGCTTTTCCTACTTAAATTTGAGCTTTTTGAAAAAAAATTGTAAATTTTTGTAAAGCCTTTACATGTATATTTCTCTTGCTCTATCTTATATAATTTCATAGAAGATAACTTCACCAAACCCCGCAAACGAGAGCTTTTCAGCTGTTTTAGAGATCAAACATGCATAAATTTGTTGAGAGTTGATTTAAACAAATGATACCATATTAGCTGTTTTATATATAGGATGAAACACTTTTTTGTGTGTGCTACAAATACACCTGAACTAAATCTATCAATTTTGTTTATGGAAACACAAGGATAATCATTCTTTCTTTCATCATAATTTCATAATGAAATCGTTTCTTTCCATCGTAATTATAAAATGAGGCCAGCTACAAAGTATACGAATAAAACGCATAAAGCTGTCAAAGGTTGGAAAAGCCAAGAAGTTAGAATTTGCAACTTTAAAGTTAGAAAAGCCAAGATTAAAGTTGAAATTACAGATTTTCAGTGGGTAATGATAATTATTTGCCTAAATTTATATAACACCGAGCTGTCAAACCAGGCAGGTAGTACATGTAGGGGTTGGGGTATGTCCTCCCACTTTTTTTCAAACAAAACTTTTACTGTTGAAAATTTTCATTGAAAGGCTGGTTGTCCCCAACTCCTAACATTTTGTTGGAGTATAGTCAAATCAGGGTAATGTGGTAATGTATGAATAAAATTTGGTTGCTAAAGAAGTTTACCTGTATATTTCGGGTTAATTTCACAGAGTTTAACATGCATTCTCTGTAAGCACCAACAAATTTACTATAGGGTTTAGAAACGACATGTCTCGGATTTTGATGAAATCTGCACAACAGATGTGTCTTGGTGCAAAACTAGCAAATATGGTGTCGGAAGTTCCACACGTGCACTTGGTTGCCATGGAGACGGATTTATTTAATTTGGCCATTTTTGGCCCTTTTTGACCAAATGAAAACATGAAAATTAAGGAAATTAAACGAATATTTATCGGTATCTACTACACTCAAACTAAAATCACTGGATCATATGATAACATGAACTTTTAAGGTACACAGGGCATATAATCATTTATTCTAGAAATATTCCCAATCTAAGAAAAAGGTTATGCAAATTGACATGCATGGTTTCTGAAAATTTGAAAAATGGGGAATTTAGTATTTTTTGATCTCTTTAAGGCTAAATAAGAAAAATTGTCCGTGGAAAATGTCCAAATCTTATGAGTATTTTTAAACTTGAGAATTAGTAGTGTCATCTCATGAAAAAATATCGGTGGGCTTTTACTCCTATTTTTAGTAACATATCTATAAATAGATATATTTTAGAAAAATGTAAAAAATCAAATTTTGACAAAGTTTTAGATGTCAATACTTGATAATTAGGAAGTATATTGTAAATATTAAGATGTTAATGGCAGTAGCTGGACACCACTAGCTGGAGTGGACAATGATTGAGGGGGATTCCCATTTCTATTTATAGTATCAAGCACCTATATATGGATATGTCTCTGAATATTAGGAAAAATGACAGTTTTATGCTAATTGGAAGCTTCATAGAAAAAGTCTTAACAAATATTAAGCTTTCTACAATATGCCTTCAAAAAGAACATGTGATTGTACAATAATTAATACAATATTGAGGATCGACTCTTGTTTCTTTTTATAGCAACAATGGTCTAAAAATAGATTCCTCGAATTATCGAGAAAATGTAGATTCTTGCACTTTTTCAGGCAATGTTTTATAGAAAAAATGCAGACTAACTGTTATAAACCTAGTGTAACTGACAAGTACTAGAAACCATTTACAGAAATACACACTATCTGAAGGGGGTTACCTTTTCTATTTATAGCACAAACACCCATAAATAGAAACATCTCAGCATATGAGAAAAAATAACAATTTTCCACCAGTTGTAAGCTTCATTGAAAAGTATTTACAAAATATACTGCTGTATACAATATGTCATGAACAAAAACATTTGGGCAATTAATAATTGACACAATATTGAAGATGGACTCTTTTCTTTTTATAGCAACAGTTGTCTAAAAATAGATGCAGTAAGTTATTTAGAAAATAGAGTTTCTTGCACTATTTTAGACATTGTGGATTGAAAATTTGAATATTCTCTATTATAAAAATTATGTGACTAACAAGTACTAGAAACCATTGACTGAAATGCAAAATGTTTCAAGGGGATTCCCATTTCTATTTTTAGCACAAAAAATAAATTTAAAAAGCTTAGATACGTCTTAATAGGTTAAATGAGGTAAAATTAAAATTTTCCACATACTGAAAGCTTCATAAAAATATTAACAAACAATTTTCTATCTACAATATTTTAACAACAGGAACTTACAAGTTCTAGTAACCATTTACTGTAGGGTCCAGTATTTGAAGGGGTTCCCATTTCTATTTATAGAATCAAACACCTTAAAATTTACATGTATTGTTTTAATATATGAAAATAAAGAACAATTCTTTAGTAAATAAGCTTCACAAAAAACCCCTAAATAACTGCTCTCTACAATATGTCATTAACA